GTAGATATCTAGTAGCGTATTTGCCTGGAAAGGCGCTAACTGTTTTGCATTTCCTATACAGCAACATACATATATGTCCGCGCGTGTCCTTAACATTAACGTAATGGCAAAATAATTTATTACTGACGTAAAAAACGAATGATAATATTCAAATCTACCGGATTTGAAAACTAATCATTTTTTATTCCCCTGAGACTTTTTAATACTTGAAATAATGTCACACATATTATAGTTTCAGTATAAATTTACCTTTGACGTCCTATCGCAGAATAAACATATCTATTTCTTTGACGAGACTTTTGAATATTTTAATATAATTAGCGATTATATATTGGCGCAGAGCGATTGCGTGCCCAATGCTGCGTAATTAAAATAATGATAAAATCTCGAGACAGACGAAGGCGAGCTGCGCGTTAAAGTCAGTAAGTAAATGTAATCTAAGAATAATCTGTTTCTCAATAACTTGAAAATTTACATGTAGGTATTCTAATCGCGAAGCCTTGTAACACTCATTGTCAGTAGTACTATTATAAGCCTTATTCCTGGTGGAAAATATGGGTAACTGGCATAAGGACGGTCACCAGCTCGTTCGCGCACGTGTGTTATGATACAACCGCGAGTCTAACAGTCGACTTTTTATTCCGGGTCTACTGGCATGATATCGCGTGCTCGGACTCGGTAGAGTGTGAAAGTGCGTGCATGATACGAGTGATAAACGTGGTGAAAACCAACGGCTCTAAATGGCGTAGTCGATCGCGCGCTTTGTGTCCGCGTACAATTCACTCGTCGCACCTGCGAGATGATCGATTAAAGTCTATGAGTAATAAGGTTGCTGATAATAATCGCATATAACAACTCTTCTTAGCAAGCTGACTCAGTCTTGTCATTCGATACTTTGTTACAGCCAAAGACCGATTTGATCTAGATGTTAAAAGAGTTTTGAATGTTAAATTTGTTATTAGAAAAGCACTTAAAAGATTGTTTAAGAATAATTTTATATTTACAAAAAAGAGTAAAGTTTATGAGCAATAGCAATCGTTTTCTAGCGTTTTAATTTCCACTGGTTTAAATCTGATAAAGTGCTGAAATAATATCGTATTTTTAACATTGAGTGAAGTCTATTATTAACGGTGATTATAATTGCGCGATCGTACATGTGAATAAACGCTGTTGACGAAATTCTCGCGCAAGTAGTGAAATACATTCTAATACTAACATAAGTACTCGTTATTTCAGTAATGATGTGTATAATCATAACAAAAAACACGAATAAAAAAAAAGATAGTTAATACGAAATAAAGAAAGGCAAGGATACGTAATATAGTCACCATTAATCTGATCTACGTTATATTTTTTACATTATATTGTGGAATATATCAAACGGAAGATTGTAAGTGCACAATATATGTATAATCGCAAATATGTTAGTTATTTACTTAGCATTATTAAAAATGTGGAAGCTATTAAGAAATAGAAGTTTTAATATTTATTCATCCTTCAGTAAATTTATTAAATTTACATATTCAGTATCCATATCATTCCGTAATATCCTTTTATTATAAAATGGGAAAAAACGAATGACATCACTTATGTTAAAAAATACTTAAGGTAAGTTTGCTATCTTCTTTTTCATAATTTAATAATAACTCATATACTTTTTTTAGCGACATGCAACCTTACGTCTGAAGGTTTTCATCAAGGACTTGGAGAAGCTGTTGTTAATTAACTGTAATCAGGTGAGCAGCATCAATACCATGACCTAAATATTCCTTTAACACTTATATAATGCAAAAAAGGTCAGATTCCTACTGTTTCAAATGGCAGAATAATAATACCGTAAAAAGATAACGCAAAAGAACTGTATATTTAAAAATAATCATATTTTCTAATGATAAAATATATATTGAAAATACATAATACTCTATTATATCTTTTTTGAATTATCAGTTACGCTATGATTTACGTTATCTACGATAATCTACATATTAATTTCCTTGTCCGCGTTCACAATTCCGTGTGATGGAAAGTTCATCGAAATAAAATCATTCCGCGATTGTGTGTGTGCGAAAGATCAGTCTGGACCAGGATCTCGATACAGACCTGATGCAGACCTCGATAGTATAACTGAACTTGCGGTTCAACGATATCAACGATCAGCTCATTTATCAAGAAGAATTGTTTAAAGACACTCGTATTGAATTTATGTAATAAAACGGACAACTAACCACGTGGCAAATCAGCTATTAACACGCAATTCACGTTTACTGTACGCGAGCAAATGAACCATTTGATTCGGCATCATCGAAAGTAGTTCAGTAACTTCCGAAGCGAATCAGGTGCAACAAATCAATCTTTTCCATATACTTTTTTCACATCACTATGTAGATTACTGATTGCAACAAGAGTCGAAAACATAAAGAATTGAAAGTGATTATTGTGTAATTCTAATGGCATATCATTGTATGTCACATAAACACAATGTTTATATATTTGATTATAATGATATAAAATTAATTTTATTCATTTGTCATGCAAATCACGCAATTAACGCAAGACCTGCATTTAACATTAAATGTGCGATGAATATACGAGCAAAATTGCCATATCGCGATTTACGTAATGTTACTTTTTAAAGAAGCTGCCGTTAAATCATAAGCGGTTAATTATACGCATCCATTAATGCATAAGCAACAAATTCTGCTTTGGGTATTCACTCGAATATGCTCACATATAGTATCACAAATCAGAACCCGAGCATTCACATGTGTTCAGCATGTGCAACTACTGAACGATAAGGGGGATATCCCTTCGTCGTAATTGATTGCAATAAAAATCTACGACGCAAAGTTTTTTGCGCGAGTTTATAAATAAAACGCTTAGTAATTCTGTCTGGATCGTTTTATTAGTCTGACGCATAAATGTGTGTATGAAAGCACGCCGTAGCAGACAACCGTACTGCTTTCACATGTTGAAGGTTGTATTCGTAATTAGACAGAGACGCTGCTAATCTGTCTAACATTTTGATTTACTTCTTGATTTCTATGTTCGATACATCGCTCTTTTGAAGTTTTCCACAACGAGTTTGATGAATCTATTGCAATTATCAATACGATGCACGTTCTTGTTACTTGAGATTGTTTGGTAAAAAGCAACTCGATAAAAAGTACTCGACAACTGACCGAAGGTTAATGTTTTCATAGTGCGAGGATATAATGCATTAAAATTCTTTTGAGATCGAAGCAAATCATGCGGATGACTAGGACAAACTTCTTTGGCTCCCTAAGTACAATGAGTCCAAGGCTGCTATGCCGCAATCCAACTTTCTGCCGAGACTGCCTGTCCTCTTCGGTCAGACACTGATTACTAAATATTTTGTGCTTCATTTCTCTTCCAACGTACTTCACGATGAAAAGGTAATACGATTTTTTAGACACCCTTTTATTAATAAAATAATATTATGTAAAAAAATAAAGGTAAAATTGCATACATTGATATTATTTTATCCAAATTTATCACAATAAAAATAAATAGCTACAAATTATAGAAACAATTACGAAATAAACATTACATAATTCGTTTATCAAAAAACATTTATTGTCTATAATTTGCATGTTTTACATTGATTACATGTCTTGATGATATCTCTATAATCAATTATTTTTTCTTGTTTAGAAAAATCATCATTAAAACTTACGCGAGGAAATCTAGTTTCTGTCGACCTAAATTTTATAATGCAAATAGATAGACAGTCATCATTTAAAACATTATAATTTACTGCATCGTGAGACTTCTCCACACATCGCATCATATTGAACTTATCTTTATTAAACCCCCGCAATAATTTCGAAGCGGAAAGTCATAATATAGCTAAGTACAATCATTTAAATCAGAGATAATTTGCATTTTTAACATTTTATAAACCTTTTTTCATAACTATATAATTAAATTATTTGTACTTTTATTTTTTAATATGTCACATCGATACATTTTTATATTTTGTGTATATCATAAAAATATATATGTATATGTATCGAACAAATTTCATTAGGTTTTAGTGATTTGTGATTGCATAATCACAAATATACGAGCAAGCTGCTCATCGACCGTCGAAACAAACGGAGCGGAGTAAATTGCGATTAGTACAAATAATCCGGATAGAATTTCGATTAATTTTGGAGTGCCATATGAACGTTTAAATGAATGTGATGTTGAATAACGGGTTGGATAAGTTGATACGCAATGTCGAGGCAGAGCAAGTTCGCACGCATAGCCATGCATATTTATTATCAACGATAAGTTTTCTTCCTGCAATCTATTTTACTATACCAGTCCACGGCAAATCGGTTCCACCTCTTAATCTATTGGTGACCGATGCCGGTTTATATATGCCAAATTCTAGACATTCTATCGACGAAATATCGTAATAAATGTTTCAAAATTACTATATTTTTTGCGTGAACTGTTTAATTAATATTATAAAATCCAGTTTCTTTTTAGCAATACGCATCGTCTTATATAATTGTGGCTAAAAAATTCAAAACATATTTTACCAAAATTTATAGATTTAAAACATTTTGGGATTCAGAACCAAGACGTGAATGGAAAATAAAAGTTGATTCGACCACGGGACAAAAAACATTCTTATTTACATAAAGATTGCTTATTTCGCAATTGTCTCTCTATGTAGATAGCCACAATATTATTAAGACAATTGTGACGCAGAGCGGTAATATTTCATCAATATATAATGTAAATAAAACGATTAATTGTACTGTAATTATACAATTCTTATATGATTAATTTATCTTATATAATTAATTTATTCTTTTATACTCTCAACGCAAAAAAAAATGTATATATTCGTTATCGTAACTAATTATTGATTAATAATAAAGCTATTAAATTTCCGCCATAAATTAAAATTGCGATTTTGCAAGCATGTATTTTTCATTTAATAATCTTAACGATTATATCTAAATCGTGATTAATCAGAATCTTACCTAAGCACTTCTAGGTTTCCCCATCTCCAGTCACTTCAACTTTATCCGGAACTTTTTGCAGTAGTTGAATGTCATGCGGTATAACTTGAAGCATCAAGGAACATCATTACTGGTTCTTCAAGCAGTCAGATGTACTTGCAAGTCGAATGGCTTCTCTCTACGATCACTATTGTTCCGACACTCATAATCAATCGACAAGAACATTATTGAATTTTGAAATGAACCGAAAACCGCGTAATGCAATCCCGATCGTTCTATATATAATCGATTTTAGATCATCCGATTAACATATTACGTTACTCACAAAATCAATCAACACGTACGATAGTACACCGATCGATCTATGCCGGGATAAAATCTTGTCGGCAATCTTTCGCGGCTGCATCCATCTCTCGACCTGTCGGTTTTCGGTCGATCGATAACACGAACCGGTCATCGAGCGTTTCCGTTTCTCACTCGCCCCGATTTTCGATGCTTCTCTTTTTATCTCGTGGAAGGCAGATGCCAAAGATTTGCGCGCGGCGACGCGCTAGATCGTAGATCGATCGATCGATCGATCGATTGAATAAACGGATAACCACCGCGTCCGTCCTTAGCTTCGTACGAGCATGTATGCGCCCCGTCGAAGAGGGTTTTCCCAGTCGACGAGAAAAAAAGACACTTTGGCGATCTCGCCGACGATCCGATCGATCGATCTCGAGCGCGATCGACGCGGCGTTCTACTCGGGGGTCTTTCTCGCGCTGGGCCCCCCGATCTGACCGTGGGCACCGAACGTCTGCGACTGCGGCTGAAATCTCGAATCTATTCGCGGCAAGCGAGTAAGGGAGCGAGCGAGCGAGCGAGCGAGCGAGCGCCCGCGAGAGAGCGCATGGCGTGTGCTTCATGCACTATATAGATACGCACGCATCATGTGCGTGTGCGTGCGCCAAATGTGTGCACGCGTGAGTAATCGGCGATGGTGGGGAGCGTTTTACTTCGCTCTGGGTGGTAGATCAGATAAGAAGGATCTCGCTTCCTGCGGGCCTCGCAGACTCCCGGATACTTACTAGTCATCTTCCCAAATTTAATTGACATTGCTTGATAATTTTTGATATTTTGTATGGTTAATAATTGCAAAGCTGTAATTTAAGATAAATTAATTATATAAGAGAAACCATGTATATTATCTTTTTAATATTTATTTTGTTACTTGTCTTATAATTTTTGCTATATGTTTTATTAAAAGAGAAATTTTTAATATTTTTTATTATAACATTAAGAAAAAGAGAACATACTGGGATATAATGTTTTATAACGTCTTGTTACAGTCTCTTCATGTGTAAAGCATTTCGAATAACCTTCACTGAACAAATGGGAGAGCGATGTCAATTATACCCTGTATATGCATGGTAGTGAAGGCGCCGTTCCTAATCCGATTTACATGTCATTTTCCATTTTTGTCTTAGTATAGTTGTGTATCAATTATCTTTACTTAAAAAAAAAAAACTATGCTTAAATATACATGAATGTCCTCTTGCAGTACCAATGCGGAATACTATCAGAATTAAACCAGAAAAAATTATCTTCAAAAATAAAAAATACAAAAGAAGATGAAAGAAAGAAAAAGAGAGAGAAGAAAAATATGAAAAGATTAAAACGCGTATATCGTTAAACAAAAAAAGATCAAATAAAATTAATAAAACACAATAATTATTTATTCATGTATACAAAAATATTTAATTATTTTAATATTCCTGAATGAGTCAATTAATTTTTTAATACGGTATAAATTAACAGATAACATATTTAATAATCGTTTAGCTTAGACTTAATCGACATTTTGCAAGATTTGATAATGGTAATCCGTTTCGTAATGTTTGCACTGATTCGTGTCGTTTCATTACCAACTAACTTCCTTCTTACGATAATGCCTCTTCCTGCCGTTCCTTAACAATAAAGCTTAATTTGCGCTACCTCTAGCGTTCGTTTCCGTTCTCACGTTCATTCGCCAGCAAATAGATTCAATTGTCTTTTCTCTCTAATACCTATGCTAATGCTTAGTCTTATGCAGTCGAGCAGCGAGGAATTTTGGAATACGCTTATCGGCAAACGAGACAATTTTTCGGATCGTCTTCACCGAACGAATGTTTACTTCAGATCCGGTTATTACGTGTTACGTGGAGTATTACATGATCACGAATGTTGTCGGTGAAAGGCATTTAAATTTAGCCTACATCGAGAGTCTCGCAGGACTTGCAATTGTGTCAATGTTTCATTGTGTCGCGAGATGATCCAATCTTAAAGATTCTATTTAATCCGAGTGCGTCCTTCAAAAATTTAGATTCGTCTCATCTATTCGCGAATTACAAATAAGAATTGTATTTAAATCTAATTATTGCGTATATAATTATTATGATAATATGATTTTTTTTTAACATTATTTTATGTTGTAGGAAATATTAAATGTTTTGAATGTAAAAATGAAATTTATCGAGGCGCATACAAACCAGTTCTGATAAATGCGACAGGAATATCCCGTCTAGATAGATCTACATTTTCTAATCGTAAGGAGAAAATATATATAACCGCAACAAAGAATTGGTATCTCTGGGGTTAATAACGCATCGCACGAGTCTGCTCATAATACACTACGTGATCTTCAGATTGCGGTTACCGCTATTTTCCGCCTGGTATATAAACTGAACCGCAGAAGCCGCGTTTATGGTAAGGTATTCCCTTCCAGCGATCCTCCACATTATACTTATATCTTGTAAAACATCGAACAGACTTACTGAATTACTAGTTTAAGACGTTTCTTGTCCATTGCGAGAGAAATGACCAGTCACAGAAACCAGGCAAGGGTGAAGGTCACGGATACCACGTTCTGAACGTATACGTGTACATGTACATGTACATGTACACATTCCTGAGCACGTTTGCGTACCTTACTCAAGAACTTGTAACATATAAAATGCTGTGCAAGATATTACAAGTTCATCGTCTTTTTTATATGTATAGACTTTTCCACATTCTTGAAATTGACTTCTGTCGAAAGAGATATCATTAATAATTCTTAGAAAATTATAAACAATTAAAAATTGGAAACTTTACACAACTTTAGCTTCAGAGATATAGATACGATAAAATCTTATCATAAATGATTTTTACGTTAATTTGTTTAAACATTAGTTTACATATTGATTAGAGTAAGAAACACATTATGTATTGGATATTAAAAATATATTGTAATAAAATTAATAGTGAACAATCTCAAGTTTTACTAAATGTAAGCTAAATTATGATTATTTTGATTTTTCGAATATTGTTTTTCGCTCATGATAATCTAGTGTAAAAAATGTAATAAACCACTATTTGGCTTTCTTGCGTTCGCGCAAGATAAATGCATTTCAAGATTTTGCAGCTGCGACCGCCACAAAACGATGCGGTAATTACGAGTCACAATAGCGAGGAAATGAGTGTGAAAAGGTCGTGTAACGGACTGAAAATGCAAAGACCGCATACTGCGTGAAATTCTTTTCCTCATAGCATATCTTTATATCCTAAGCAACCTAAGAAGAGCGCGTATGGAATCGATAAAATTGTGTAATTATATCCTATAGGCTATAATTTTCGGGAACTTTGCTTTCACGGAAAACATTTTGAAATTTTCAACATAATTAGCAATAATTACCGAATTAAATTATTATTTAATTATCTGTTTCTCAAGCATCATATTAAAAAGCAATAAAAAATAATCATATTAAATTTTTTTTTTTTTGAAGCTTGATGTGTTTCAAATAATTACAGCAAATTTTTATAAATTAATAAATGCATATATGTATAAGAATGGAAATAAAAATTTAATAAAATATAATGTGTATATATTGGTACATATAAACTATAATATATAACTTGAAATTTTATATGTATTTAATTTGCAAGTTAATTTTGTGTGTGTGTGTTTCCAAATTTATTAATTTCGAAAGACTTATTTCACAAAAATATCATAAATGTTATGTGCAACCAAGTATACCCATTTACCAGATTATAGAGAAGCTTAATAGAACCGGTTGTATCCTACATGCGATATTGTGTGAATATATTCGCAGCCTTGAAAACGAATGTTTTATCATGAATATATATAATATCTCACTAATATTTTATGATAGTTCACGGCTTCTTCCATAGTCGTGATACTGTGCAAACAAAAATTATTTCATAATAAATCGAAAAAATTCGTGATCGATTAGACATGTTTCCAGGGTATAATGACACCAACATCACGTTTAAGGAATGTTTCTGAACAAGTTATTGTAGATAACGAAATAATCAATAAATTAAGATCAAATGACTGATACATTAAGTAAAAGCTTTATATGAGAATATATTATAATTTATCATTTATTTTCTTAAATTTTGTGCTTCGACTCGATCTAACTTTTGCTTTTTTAAATGTTCAGCAATAGAAATATTTATTACTCATGAAAAGAAAAATTTTAAAAAATTTTTTCCAGGAATTATCAAATTTATTTTATTTTATTTATTTTATCAGGCTATTATTTTCATTTTCCAATCGCATCACACAATTCTCTTTTTACATATTCAGATCTAGAGATCCTTTCTATCATCGACTGGTTAGAAGTAGAGGGCGCCAAGAACTTGTTCATCTCAAAGAGTTATCTGTTGAGACTTATATATTTTTCTACATGCATCACATGCAGTAAATATCGATATTTATATTGTCGATATTTGATATATGCAGAAATATATTTTGTTACTTTTGTGTCTCTTGTTGTTACATCAAATACATTTTGGAATAAAATATGAGGTTGCTTCATATATTCCAAATACATTTGCTGCAGTAAAAACAAAGTATGCTTAATGCATGCAAATATGCCATCAATCTCCGAAATGTCTACATCCCCACAAAATCGTGGCGTAACTGTGACCAAGTCTCATGAATAAAAATTTAGCCTTCGCATAATAAAGAGATTCTCGCAACTCGGCCACTTGAGTTCGAGGAGGGTTCACTACGTACCCAACACGCGAAACATGAAAGTCACTCACATAAAATATGTATACGATAATCGGCTCTACACGCTCATCATAACGCAACGCGTCAACACGTGAACATAGGCGTCTCTGCAGAAATTACTTTTGTAGTATTATAAAATATCTTAACAAGTTTAAAGTGTTGGTCCATCCAACATTTTGCATATATTGATAGGTGTTTAGAAAATTAATATTAGAAAAATAAATAAATTAATTCCTTTTTGAACATTACTCACCTTTTTTCCGATATGTTGTTATTTTCAGAAAAAAAAATTTGATTTATAGCTTACTAAGAGCTTTTAAAAATTAAACAATTTATCTCTGTCTACACATATAACATTTATATATTTCGAAAAAAATACAGCATAAAAGTGCCAATTTAATGTTGTGTTTAATGTAGTCTTGCCCCCCATTGCGAGCGCCCGTGTATGACCGAAGATATCATCCCCCGGAAATACAGAGAATGAAAACGAAGGCGGAACAGCGCGATCGCTCCAGCTGGCCGTGTCGAATCTTCTCAGTAGCGGGGGTCGCGGAGAAGGGCCTGTTTCAACCCCCTCGCTTCTATCGCGACGCAGTTCATCATCATCGTCGACGACTTGTCAACCTCATTATACTCACCGCGTCCCTGGTGATCATTATTAGCCAGCGCAAAGTGTGGGCCCGCGGTGCAAACTGGAGGCGACGTAACGCAATTCACCCCGTGTACGCATGACGGCATTGATGGGGGGTGTTTGCACAGGAAGAGAAGGGGGAGGATATCGCCGC